TTATTTCATCACTCAAAATCTTGCCAAAGCATATTCTGTAGGAGGGGTTAATATGAATTTTAAATAATTTGAAATGATTTATATGAATCAGGTCATGAACATATGGACTTTGAGCGTGTGCTGCTCTGTCTCCGTGACTCAGCTGCCTCTCAACCATTGCTCTCAAACGCACACACACCCCTCCAGACCTCCCCCTCTCCACCATTCACTCACTCACTCAGTCACTCACTCAGTAACAGTCTCCTTACTGCATGATAGTCAGCAGCACCTCACAGCAAAATATGCCAAGAGTGTGCAAAGCATTCATCAAGGCAAAGGGTGGCTATTTGAAGAATCTCAAATATAAAATATATTTGATTTGTTTAACACTTTTTTGGTTACTACATGATTCCATATGTTTTATTTCATTGTTTTGATGTCTTCACTATTATTATACAAAGTAGAAAATTGTGAAAATAAAGAAAAACCCTTGAATGAGTAGGTGTGTCCAAACTTTTGACTGGTATTGTTTATAAATTTTTTAAGAGAAATTTCTGTGCAATTTTGAAGTAGCCCAAAAACCCTCCATACACGACCGATACATTTTCACCCGTGACATAGTTTTCAAAGTAGCCCCCAATTTGCAGGAAAACCACGACCTTGGCAACACTTGGCCCGTGTGACAAAAGGCTTGTTTGTGTTAAGGCCTACTGTAGCTCTGATTGCCTATTGCGCACTAGTCTGTGTAGACTCCTGTCTTGGACAAGACATACGTTTTTATTAGATATTATTTACTATAGTGTCTATTAATTGTCCAAATGCTCAGCAGCTTTCCCGCTCTATATTGCTACAGAATCTTCACAAATGCTTAGTATATGTAATTCCCAAACATTCTAAAGCCCTATTTGCACGGGACTAGTATTACTAGAGAATGTTGGTTGTGTATTTATTACAATTTCGGACAGAATTAGTGTTTTACAAACTGCCCCCTGTAATTCTCATGTATACAGTATATATATAAATGTACAGTTATTTTTTTCCTAGGCGTGAAGATATTTCCACAAGCCAGGTTCCCAAGTTTCTAAATCATCTTTGGTATAGTGTCGCATTATATTTGAATTAATAATAATAATAATCAATAGGATTTGTTAGCGAGCAGCAGTATAAGATGTCCTAAATGCCCCCCAACCTTCAGATGTGAGCTAAACAGCGCCCTTGCAGTTGATATGCGTTTTTAGGCTATGAATGAGATAGTGAACTTGTCATTTCCAAACGTTTAGCTCAGTTGAATGCTGTTTTGCAATCTAACAGCAAGGGTTGATTAAATAGGCGCAATATTTGTTTTATGGTGCATTTGGAGATGTTCAATTCATTCACACAAAACGTATTAACAAAAGCATTCACTGTGAAAGTTGATACATGTAGGCCCTTCTTATGTAGGCTATGCGCAGCACTTCGTTCAATTGATCGAATCAGTTATTATTTTCTTGCTCATACCGCGAGCAACACCTGTCAAACTCAGACATTTCTCTCAAAACACAGGGATGTCGATTCACACGGGACCGGTAGGCTATTATCCGAGGAGCTTGGAGTTTGCAACAAAAAAAAACAGTAAGTTATTCTGTCTGGAATACATTACCCGACCTCCCCCAGTCAAAAGTTTCGCTCACATCTGAAGGCTGTGGAGCATTTAGGAGGTCTTCCGCCCTATTCGCACGGGACTAATATTACTATAGAACGTCAGTTACATAAATATTACCCCAACTTTGTTTCCATTGAACATGCAATACAAATAAAGCCATTTTAATTATTTATATGAAATGTGCCTTGGTCCTCCTTTTTTTTTATGACCAATTTACTGTGAAATGTACTATGTAATTATTAGCTCAGCATGTGTACATCATTGCATTACCTTAGCTCCCCCAGTAAAACTTATCCCGTCCGAATAGGGCTTTCTACACCGGATCGCTAAATAAAATATTATGGCGACACTATACCAAAGATGGTTTGGTATGGTTTAGAAACTTGGGAACCAAGCTCGAGTTATCGGTGTAGCAAGTCGCCAGGAATTGTTGAAATATCTTCGCGCCAAGAAAAAAAAAAACTCCAGGCTTCGGTCATAACTGTCAATGTATAAATAATAAATAAATACAATTACAGGAGGCAGTTTGGAAAAAACTAATTCCGTACGAATCATACTCTGGAATAACGGACATTCGGGGGTAGTAAACACATAAGCAACGTTCTCTAGTAATATTAGTCCCGTGCGAATAGGGGTACAATATTCTTCCTGGGCCTGGGGGTGTATATGAATGGGGGAAGGCCATGTAGCCGAAACGCGTCGGAGTTTTTTTTTTAAACGTTGTTTCCATTGAACATGCCATACAAATAAAGGCATTTTAATTAATTATATGGAGAGTGCCTTGGTCCTCCTTTCTTTATGATGACCAATTTACCGCTTTTACCGAAGAGCACCTTCTGTCTACCTAAATCTACTATTGTGTACCTTAGCAGTGCTTCCTTTCCTTCGTTTTTTTATACAAGGGTTGGGCGATGTCTGGAATGACACATCATCCCATCGACCTGTCCAAACATCGTTTGTATAGGATTGTATTGTCTATTTTTAAAAAAAAATTTTTACAGGGGGCAGGGGGGAGCGCGTCGTTGAGTTGCCTAGCAACACTGTAAATTGTCTGTAATGAAGCCTGTGTTATGCCCAAACCACCTATTAAAGTCTAATCATTAGACTACAATGTGCAAATCATCTTACCAATATTGTATTTTCTTGTGTGCAAATAAATAAATATAAACCAATCATACGGTGATATGTGGTACCGATAACTTTGAATGGTGATTTGGAATCAAACGTTGTAGGCCTACAGTGTGATTCGAGACCATTTCAATGATGATTATGGACAATTAGATCGAGTGCGCAGTTCACGATAGAAGACATCACTGGGCAGTGTTCTTGGGAGAGCTAAGCAAACAGTCATACTCAGTGCGCAACAGCCGGCCAGCGCAGAGCTCACATCCTACCTACTATAAAATGTAATCGGAGATGACCCACTGGTATGGTGGAGAGAGAATGAGGGTCGATTTCCGCTTTTTGCCCACGTCGCCCTCAAATACCTCTGCGTCTGTACAAAAAGCGTTCCGTAGGCCTACAGCAGGCAATATTGTTACCCAACTCTGCAGTCTATTAAACCAGAAAAGGTGAACATGAATGTGTTCCTTGCCAGAAACCTTTAGGTAGATTAATTTATAATGAAAAGAAAAATAGGCCGAATGGTTCTCGTTGCACTTTTTATTTGTTTAATTATCAAAGCCTGTATTCACAGATGCGTCTGTGACGAAATAAATGTAGCCTATGCCAGAATAAACACTTCCACAATAATATAAATATCTGTTTAGAAGTTTAACTTGTACAAGTAATGTTAACTGCAAATTATATTGACAGTAGCCTAGTGTAGGCCTATATTATTGCCTGTTAGATGGCGCCACACAATTTGTTTTACCTAAAGCTTTGGTCAGGTGGAGGCCAGGAACTTAAGTTTAAACTTCTCATTCGATTATTCTATCATGCGATTGTTGGTTCTCTCTCGCTCTCATTATTACCATATCATTGAGACAGAAATATCTAAATGACTGTACATTTTCATTTAAGAAATGTATTGGTGACACTTTATAATTACTTGTATATTAGAGTGAGAAATGTTTGTTTATGGTCATACTGAGCTGATAATGTGAAATACATCATGTGCACATTGAGACAGGAACTGACAGCATTTTAGCAACATGAAATCTTATTAAAAGCTGTTCATATCAATTTGCACATTCTGTATTTCACATTATCAGCTCAGTATGACCGTGAATAAAGATGTATCCAAGATACATTTCTCACTTTATAATGGGTAGACATAGGTAAAAAATAGCAAACATTCACAAAGTTGTTTCTTCTTACCTCAGAAGTGATTCGCTGTGATGACTGTCTCGTGAAAGATATCTGCAGCATATCTGTCTTCTCAAAATAAGGATGAGAAACTAAAAGAGGAACCCTTCTGCCAGGCATTGCATTTGTTTTTGCATGTACATCCAAGCATGACAGACAAGCATCTATTTGTATGATTTGTGGTTGATGATGGAGGGAGGTACTGTATCTATTTTCCATTCTGCACTGCACAGTACTGTATTTGTGAAGTGAGCTTAGTCTCACTTCATCTGTCAGATGTTTTGTTCAAATTTACAGTATGTGTAGTGTGTGGTTGTTGTACATGAAGAACATGAGGCACCGTACTGTACAATACCTTCTGAGTAAAACCGTGCTGATTGAAGCAGACATACAGTACCGACTCATATTTGTCTGTGAAGATATTTTATTGCATATAAAGACGACATGCTATACTGCCCAAGTTACTTGATTCAAGTTGAATAACTCCTTTTCACATTGGCACTGCTATTGATTGTGAATGACAAAACATGTAAAAGCCCATTGTAAAAAAACGGCGCAAAAGTGATATGAAAATAACAGGGTCACATTCATTAGGAAGCAAACTGAAGAAAATATACTGAAACATGGACTTGGATTTTGCTGCAGTGGGCTAAATCAGGGTCACACAGAGTGCTTCTTGGTAGTCTTCAACAAATATACTTTGAAACAAAGGTATACACCTCACACGCATGGTTCTGGGCTTTAAAAAATAAGACACCTGTACCCTGTCAGCTATAGAGTTGAAATGTATAACATTTTGAGTTTGCGTCCCAATATTACACTTTACACACATCACAGATTACTGAAACAGTTTGACATAGAAACACCAGATTTTCTGCAGGTTTTTTTAAATAGTGTTTATTATGAAAAATATTATTACCATTTTACCCATGAGGCCACTAGGTCATTTGACTGCAGGTAAGGCCTATGTAATGTACATTTGCATTTCCATTGCCAAATGTTTTAAAACTTTTTTAATTGCACTCCCTAATGAATATGACCCAGGTATTTTTAGCCCTCCTCTTGACCTCCTTCATTTCCCCTCCCCTATACCAGCAGCAGCCAGTATCTTCTCTGCGTCAACCCCCATCTCATCGATGGCCCCATTGAGAGCCTGCAGCATGACAGTGAAGGAACGACTGGCTGAGCGGGCGTGCCTGGGCATGGCCATCTCCACCAGCCGGGTCATGTTCGTGGTCAACTCCTTCTCTGCCGCTGCCAGCCGAAGCTTTACCTCCCCCTTGGTGACTTCAGCCGACAGGTTACACGTCCGCAGGGCTTTGAGCCTTGCCGGGTCAAAGCCGCGTTGCCGTGCCAACCGCTCCACGGATTCGTCATCCAGACAGAGCGAGGCCCTGGCCTTGGTGAGGATCCTCACACCCACTCTGGCGTCCACCATGGAGGCCACCAGGGGCACGGGGATGGCCGACACCCCGCCAGAGAGTGACGCGGCCGCCCAGACCAGGGCCTTGAAGGCGTCCCTCTTCTGGGTGACCAGGACTGGGGAGAGAGTGGGCAGGGCCAGGAGGAGGGCATGGGCCCGGATCTCTGGGAGGTCCCTCTCCATCTCCTCCAGGAGGCCTGGGAAGTCAAGTTTCTCCAGACAGGAGGGCCTCACTAGGAAAACCTTAGGCAGGGCCACCCCCTGGGCCTTCAACAACTCCAGGCTGGCCTTACGCCTCTCCTCCAGACCCTTTTCTGTGTCCTTCTCTGAGGCCAGCAGGGCAAAGTACACAGTGTCCCTCTGCACAGAGCGGGCTGCCAGAAACACCGCCACGCTGTTGGCCTGGAGACTCTGTGTGAACGCCATGACCACCACGTTGTACCGCAGGAACTTCACCCGCTCCATGTACCCTTCCGGGTCAAAAGGCAAGGCTGCGGGGGTGGGTGGCAAGTCCCAGAGCCTGAAGTCAGGGTGCTTGGGATTGGGATAGATGGCCATCTCCTCTGGAGGAGTGGGGCAGGGGGACAGGGCAGCTCCTTCATCCTCAGGCCCCAGGCCGCGGAGGGCGTTGATGAATGCAGACTTCTCAGGACACCGCTCTCCTGCCACGGCCAGGTTGATCCGGCTGATCAGGAGGTCCTCCACAGCATCCTTGACATCTGACAGCTTGTTGTTCTCAATGGACTCTTTGAGAGTCTCCAGGAGGTTCAGGCTGTGAGATACAACATCTGCTGCCATGGCTGTGAGAGAGGTGAGGTTGGTCATTAGCATAGAACAACACAAAGGAACACACACACATCTTAATAGTGGAGGATTACATTTCTTGGGCACGTAATTGATCAATTCAATTGATAATTGATTATCTGTTATGTCCACGCAGTTTAATACTGAGGTATTTATTAGTCTCTGAATAGAAGGCAAGAACAAACGCTAACACACAGTGCAGCCCTTGAGGAACTGGAAACACAATCCCTTACTGCTTAGTCAATTGGGGATAAGTGGGAACACAATAAAACCGTTTTTTAACACAATGCATCAGATTTGAGGTATTTAACAGAATAATAATGTACATAATTGGTCAAATTACAGTATTGGATAAGTGGTAAGTGTTGTGTAAACAAACACACAATCTTAGATCCAAATAACTGTCTGGTCTACAGTACTAATGTATGCTACTGTCTATGCCTTACCTTAGACCTAGATGGAAAGCCCTAAGGGCAGACGTTAAAAGGGAAATACATCCTTATCCAATGATTAATAGCAGATACTGTATATCCTCAATACAAGTGAAGTGTGCTGACTGTGTCTGCTAGATCTATTTACAGGCTCTGTACTGTGAGTGGATCATTCTAATCCTGTAATCCCACCCTTAATCCAGTGTGAGCACATACACACGACAGAGTCCATGATGCTCACACTGACAAGTGGCAGGTGATGTGGACATGTTTTTATTCATTTTCATTTTCTTCTAATCCAAACCTGAGGAATAACACAGGTGTTTGTACGTGGGTTTGTTCGGTAGCTCTTTAAGAATTCCTTGATTGCAACAGGTTAGTTTCTCTTCCTCAACACATAATTTCACAGTTTTGGTATTAAAACGAAAAAGTAGGGTGTAACTGATAATGCTTTCATTTACTCTATCGATACTTAGTCTGATGTGAGTTTCCAACCAGGGCCTCATGCCTGGATATCTGTGAAAGTAGCAGTTCTATGATACACAATAACTTCCTACAATACCAAAGAAACAACCACCACAACACAACCAGATTTCCAGTAACTCACACACACACCTCTTTGTGTTTTGTGTTTAGAGGAAACCATGCGAGAAACCTCTGCCCACATCTGAGAGTTTCAGGGTTAATTTTAAACATCTGCCTTCCAATCAGAGCCTGTTGGTCTGTCTTCACATACACTAGCAGATGGTTGAGATCACCTTAAATCAGTTTCCTTTGAGTATTGTGATAAAAGCTCAAACTGAGAATGGGTTTAGAAGTGGGTTTGTAAACATTGTGGCTTTGCAGTTATCGTGTCAAATGGAGTGTCTCCATCTAGTGGTTGTTTATAGGATATGATCTTGAACGGATACATCTTAATTAAATCAACATAGAATAAATGGTGAATGAATTGGATTAGTTCTATAGAAAACATCTACTGTTCTCTACAGTCATACCATCTGTATAGCCACTGTCCAATACAATTTGTGGAGATAATAAATAGACATCCAACTTGTGACACCATGTATTACAGAGGAGGCTGGTGGGAGGAGCTATAGGAGGACTGGCTCGTTGTAATGGCTGGATTGGAATTAATGGAACAGAGTCATACATGTTGTTTCCATATGTTTGATACCATTCCATCTATTCCATTCCAGCCATTACAATGAGCCTGTCCTCCTATAGCTTCTCCCACCAGCCTCCTCTGCTGTATTAATAAGTAGACGGGACTCCATAGTGTTAGCTTTAGGAAGGTCTTTAACAAGATAAAACCGTATATTGATACAGAGCATTTGGGGTACTGTAGAACATCATGCTACAAGATAGTTAAAACATATATAAAAAAAAAAAAACATAATTTACAAATTCTTTGAACAAATTTCAGATAACAAACAACTAAAATACACACAATCATCAAAAGTAAGGTAGTGCCTCAATATATAGGGTTAGGGTTAAATCAAAATGCAAAAACATGAATGGACAGAGGAGAAAAATGAGAAATGGTTTGACCTCTACTTCTCCAAACCACATCTTAGTCAGTCCTTCCCCATGGTGACACAAATACGGAATCATTTTACATAAACTTCCATTGCAAATACTTGTTATCTATGTGCAACTAGCAACAAATTGTAATAAACATTTACAACCACCAGGTAGATACCGGCTGACACAGGGCTGAAAAAGAAAGAATTACCAAAACTATTAACTACAGTAGTTTCAGTTAAACAAAGTCTCTGTATCATCATAAAACATTCAATCTGGAATATGAGAAAACACCACATGGCTGTATAATAGAAGCCATAGTACTGTATGCTATCCCCCATTTGTTTCTAGCCAAAATTGCTGTGTCACTCTCCACCCATAATAGCCTTGACGTTGGAGTAAAGCAATGTATCCTCATCATCCTCAAAAGGCAAGGCTGCGGGGGTGGGTGGCAAGTCCCAGAGCCTGAAGTCAGGGTGCTTGGGATTGGGATAGATGGCCATCTCCTCTGGAGGAGTGGGGCAGGGGGACAGGGCAGCTCCTTCATCCTCAGGCCCCAGGCCGCGGAGGGCGTTGATGAATGCAGACTTCTCAGGACACCGCTCTCCTGCCACGGCCAGGTTGATCCGGCTGATCAGGAGGTCCTCCACAGCATCCTTGACATCTGACAGCTTGTTGTTCTCAATGGACTCTTTGAGAGTCTCCAGGAGGTTCAGGCTGTGAGATACAACATCTGCTGCCATGGCTGTGAGAGAGGTGAGGTTGGTCATTAGCATAGAACAACACAAAGGAACACACACACATCTTAATAGTGGAGGATTACATTTCTTGGGCACGTAATTGATCAATTCAATTGATAATTGATTATCTGTTATGTCCACGCAGTTTAATACTGAGGTATTTATTAGTCTCTGAATAGAAGGCAAGAACAAACGCTAACACACAGTGCAGCCCGTGAGGACCTTACTGCTTAATCAATTGGGGATAAGTGGGAACACAATAAAACCGTTTTTTAACACAATGCATCAGATTTTAGGTATTTAACAGAATAATAATGTACATAATTGGTCAAATTACAGTATTGGATAAGTGGTAAGTGTTGTGTAAACAAACACACAATCTTAGATCCAAATAACTGTCTGGTCTACAGTACTAATGTATGCTACTGTCTATGCCTTACCTTAGACCTAGATGGAAAGCCCTAAGGGCAGACGTTAAAAGGGAAATACATCCTTATCCAATGATTAATAGCAGATACTGTATATCCTCAATACAAGTGAAGTGTGCTGACTGTGTCTGCTAGATCTATTTACAGGCTCTGTACTGTGAGTGGATCATTCTAATCCTGTAATCCCACCCTTAATCCAGTGTGAGCACATACACACGACAGAGTCCATGATGCTCACACTGACAAGTGGCAGGTGATGTGGACATGTTTTTATTCATCTTCATTTTCTTCTAATCCAAACCTGAGGAATAACACAGGTGTTTGTACGTGGGTTTGTTCGGTAGCTCTTTAAGAATTCCTTGATTGCAACAGGTTAGTTTCTCTTCCTCAACACATAATTTCACAGTTTTGGTATTAAAACGAAAAAGTAGGGTGTAACTGATAATGCTTTCATTTACTCTATCGATACTTAGTCTGATGTGAGTTTCCAACCAGGGCCTCATGCCTGGATATCTGTGAAAGTAGCAGTTCTATGATACACAATAACTTCCTACAATACCAAAGAAACAACCACCACAACACAACCAGATTTCCAGTAACTCACACACACACCTCTTTGTGTTTTGTGTTTAGAGGAAACCATGCGAGAAACCTCTGCCCACATCTGAGAGTTTCAGGGTTAATTTTAAACATCTGCCTTCCAATCAGAGCCTGTTGGTCTGTCTTCACATACACTAGCAGATGGTTGAGATCACCTTAAATCAGTTTCCTTTGAGTATTGTGATAAAATCTCAAACTGAGAATGGGTTTAGAAGTGGGTTTGTAAACATTGTGGCTTTGCAGTTATCGTGTCAAATGGAGTGTCTCCATCTAGTGGTTGTTTATAGGATATGATCTTGAACGGATACATCTTTAATTAAATCAACATAGAATAAATGGTGAATGAATTGGATTAGTTCTATAGAAAACATCTACTGTTCTCTACAGTCATACCATCTGTATAGCCACTGTCCAATACAATTTGTGGAGATAATAAATAGACATCCAACTTGTGACACCATGTATTACAGAGGAGGCTGGTGGGAGGAGCTATAGGAGGACTGGCTCGTTGTAATGGCTGGATTGGAATTAATGGAACAGAGTCATACATGTGGTTTCCATATGTTTGATACCATTCCATCTATTCCATTCCAGCCATTACAATGAGCCTGTCCTCCTATAGCTTCTCCCACCAGCCTCCTCTGCTGTATTAATAAGTAGACGGGACTCCATAGTGTTAGCTTTAGGAAGGTCTTTAACAAGATAAAACCGTATATTGATACAGAGCATTTGGGGTACTGTAGAACATCATGCTACAAGATAGTTAAAACATAAATAAAAATAAAAAAACATAATTTACAAATTCTTTGAACAAATTTCAGATAACAAACAACTAAAATACACACAATCATCAAAAGTAAGGTAGTGCCTCAATATATAGGGTTAGGGTTAAATCAAAATGCAAAAACATGAATGGACAGAGGAGAAAAATGAGAAATGGTTTGACCTCTACTTCTCCAAACCACATCTTAGTCAGTCCTTCCCCATGGTGACACAAATACGGAATCATTTTACATAAACTTCCATTGCAAATACTTGTTATCTATGTGCAACTAGCAACAAATTGTAATAAACATTTACAACCACCAGGTAGATACCGGCTGATACAGGGCTGAAAAAAAAAGAATTACCAAAACTATTAACTACAGTAGTTTCAGTTAAACAAAGTCTCTGTATCATCATAAAACATTCAATCTGGAATATGAGAAAACACCACATGGCTGTATAATAGAAGCCATAGTACTGTATGCTATCCCCCATTTGTTTCTAGCCAAAATTGCTGTGTCACTCTCCACCCATAATAGCCTTGACGTTGGAGTAAAGCAATGTATCCTCATCATCCTCAAAAGGCAAGGCTGCGGGGGTGGGTGGCAAGTCCCAGAGCCTGAAGTCAGGGTGCTTGGGATTGGGATAGATGGCCATCTCCTCTGGAGGAGTGGGGCAGGGGGACAGGGCAGCTCCTTCATCCTCAGGCCCCAGGCCGCGGAGGGCGTTGATGAATGCAGACTTCTCAGGACACCGCTCTCCTGCCACGGCCAGGTTGATCCGGCTGATCAGGAGGTCCTCCACAGCATCCTTGACATCTGACAGCTTGTTGTTCTCAATGGACTCTTTGAGAGTCTCCAGGAGGTTCAGGCTGTGAGATACAACATCTGCTGCCATGGCTGTGAGAGAGGTGAGGTTGGTCATTAGCATAGAACAACACAAAGGAACACACACACATCTTAATAGTGGAGGATTACATTTCTTGGGCACGTAATTGATCAATTCAATTGATAATTGATTATCTGTTATGTCCACGCAGTTTAATACTGAGGTATTTATTAGTCTCTGAATAGAAGGCAAGAACAAACGCTAACACACAGTGCAGCCCGTGAGGACCTTACTGCTTAATCAATTGGGGATAAGTGGGAACACAATAAAACCGTTTTTTAACACAATGCATCAGATTTTAGGTATTTAACAGAATAATAATGCACATAATTGGTCAAATTACAGTATTGGATAAGTGGTAAGTGTTGTGTAAACAAACACACAATCTTAGATCCAAATAACTGTCTGGTCTACAGTACTAATGTATGCTACTGTCTATGCCTTACCTTAGACCTAGATGGAAAGCCCTAAGGGCAGACGTTAAAAGGGAAATACATCCTTATCCAATGATTAATAGCAGATACTGTATATCCTCAATACAAGTGAAGTGTGCTGACTGTGTCTGCTAGATCTATTTACAGGCTCTGTACTGTGAGTGGATCATTCTAATCCTGTAATCCCACCCTTAATCCAGTGTGAGCACATACACACGACAGAGTCCATGATGCTCACACTGACAAGTGGCAGGTGATGTGGACATGTTTTTATTCATCTTCATTTTCTTCTAATCCAAACCTGAGGAATAACACAGGTGTTTGTACGTGGGTTTGTTCGGTAGCTCTTTAAGAATTCCTTGATTGCAACAGGTTAGTTTCTCTTCCTCAACACATAATTTCACAGTTTTGGTATTAAAACGAAAAAGTAGGGTGTAACTGATAATGCTTTCATTTACTCTATCGATACTTAGTCTGATGTGAGTTTCCAACCAGGGCCTCATGCCTGGATATCTGTGAAAGTAGCAGTTCTATGATACACAATAACTTCCTACAATACCAAAGAAACAACCACCACAACACAACCAGATTTCCAGTAACTCACACACACACCTCTTTGTGTTTTGTGTTTAGAGGAAACCATGCGAGAAACCTCTGCCCACATCTGAGAGTTTCAGGGTTAATTTTAAACATCTGCCTTCCAATCAGAGCCTGTTGGTCTGTCTTCACATACACTAGCAGATGGTTGAGATCACCTTAAATCAGTTTCCTTTGAGTATTGTGATAAAAGCTCAAACTGAGAATGGGTTTAGAAGTGGGTTTGTAAACATTGTGGCTTTGCAGTTATCTTGTCAAATGGAGTGTCTCCATCTAGTGGTTGTTTATAGGATATGATCTTGAACGGATACATCTTAATTAAATCAACATAGAATAAATGGTGAATGAACTGGATTAGTTCTATAGAAAACATCTACTGTTCTCTACAGTCATACCATCTGTATAGCCACTGTCCAATACAATTTGTGGAGATAATAAATAGACATCCAACTTGTGACACCATGTATTACAGAGGAGGCTGGTGGGAGGAGCTATAGGAAGACTGGCTCGTTGTAATGGCTGGATTGGAATTAATGGAACAGAGTCATACATGTGGTTTCCATATGTTTGATACCATTCCATCTATTCCATTCCAGCCATTACAATGAGCCTGTCCTCCTATAGCTTCTCCCACCAGCCTCCTCTGCTGTATTAATAAGTAGACGGGACTCCATAGTGTTAGCTTTAGGAAGGTCTTTACCAAGATAAAACCGTATATTGATACAGAGCATTTGGGGTACTGTAGAACATCATGCTACAAGATAGTTAAAACATAAATAAAAATAAAAAAACATAATTTACAAATTCTTTGAACAAATTTCAGATAACAAACAACTAAAATACACACAATCATCAAAAGTAAGGTAGTGCCTCAATATATAGGGTTAGGGTTAAATCAAAATGCAAAAACATGAAAGGACAGAGGAGAAAAATGAGAAATGGTTTGACCTCTACTTCTCCAAACCACATCTTAGTCAGTCCTTCCCCATGGTGACACAAATACGGAATCATTTTACATAAACTTCCATTGCAAATACTTGTTATCTATGTGCAACTAGCAACAAATTGTAATAAACATTTACAACCACCAGGTAGATACCGGCTGACACAGGGCTGAAAAAGAAAGAATTACCAAAACTATTAACTACAGTAGTTTCAGTTAAACAAAGTCTCTGTATCATCATACAACATTCAATCTGGAATATGATAAAACACCACATGGCTTTATAATAGAAGCCATAGTACTGTATGCTATGCCCCATTTTTTCTAGCCAAAATTGCTGTGTCACTCTCCACCCATAATAGCCTTGACGTTGGAGTAAAGCAATGTATCCTCATCTGTCTCTCCTACTGGCTTACCGTCCTCTTGCTACTCATCCTTCCCATCATCTCCTCCCCTTCCTCCCCTTCTATCTCCTCCTCCTCCTCCTCCATCACTCCACTCCCCTCTCCACCATCTTCTTGCCCCTCATTCTTCTTCTCTTGTTTGATTTCGGCGTACTCTGACTCTGTGGTGGTGTTCTTCTTCGCTGCCTCCTCAGGAGTCTTCTTCTTCAGCAGGGAGTAGTTGATACTGGCGTAATCCACTTCATCTGGTTCTTCCCTTGTGGCAGATTTTCCCGCCTCTCCACTGGTCTGGGGCCCTCCATTTTCAGCTCCCTCCCTCAGCTCCACCTGCAGAGGGGTCTGCTCGCCCCCCACAGCCTGTCCTGTATCCGTCTATGGAGTACATTACAGAAAGCACAGTGTTATGAGTCTTTTGTTAGCTTGGTGGTCCCAGATCTGTTTATGCTGTCTTATCAACTCCTATTGGCATGTCAATGCTAACTGAATGTTGGTAAAGCTGAATAAAGAAAGAAACTGGTACTGCACCTGTTGGTCTTCACATGCCACCATCTCCAGGTTCATGAAAGGGCTTTTGGAGTCTGAGTCCTTTGGGATCCTCTCTTTGCGTCTAAGGAAAATATTACAAATGAAATGTCTCAATAACTGTATTTTGGAGGGGTTAGCAAGCACTTCCATTACAATATGGTGTAAGGTATTTGGTACTTTTGAAAATAAATCTGAAGTTATTGATAATAAATATAAATACATCAGTAAGACAATCTACAATTGATTTTTAAAACAACATATTCAGTTAACACTAACTGTACTTCAGTAATAGAATGCATGTACCTTTTACATTTCCCTGTCAAACACAGGAAGATACAACAGATGGTGGCTGAGAAGGCTGCACCAATCACAAATGCAGTAATCAGTTTTAGGTCCGACAGCATAGCCAGGATGTCTTTAAATACTCCCTCTATAAAGAGAACAACACATGTATGCTTTTAGAAGTGGCTCACAGTACTTTGTATCCTCTGAAGAAAAAAATAAATATTTTCTCAATCAAAGCATGTAAATCCTCTATGTTGCATTCATATTGGGTGGGACTGGGAAGCTGTGGCTCTCTAACAAAGTATCTTAATTTATATCTTTACCTCCTTGCTTTTCTTGTTTTTCTTTTTGGGTGACTTGCAGCTTCTCTCTCACTCTGCCCACTTCATTTCTGCTGACACACTCCACAGTGGTGTTGGTGTGGTTTCTGACAGGCAGGCTGATGGTGCTGTTCACTAAGAACATCAACACTGATGTAGTAAAACTGTACTCATTGGTGTCAAGCCATCTTATGAGGGGTAAGGGAACTCCCTGAGTGACACACACACAGGTCATGACCTCTGCCTGGACCACACACCCAGAGCCAGCAAGAATCACGGGACGGTCTGGTGAAAGACAGAGAGGGAAGATAAATCATAGGCAATTTAAAGGTAACAACATATCACAAGCCATTTTCAATCATGTCTGTACAGTGCTGTTTGTACTCACACATCACAGTGACAACAGTGGAAGCTGTCAGAGTCCTGTTGTGGTGTTGAGCTGTACACACATACTCCCCAGCATGCTCTCTTGTCATGTTAGAGATGGTGAGAGTGGCCAGTCCAGAGCTATTCTGTTCCAAAGCGGTTGTCCCATTCTTACTCCAGGTGATGTTAGATGATGATGGTGGGTAGCTGTCAACACTGCAGGTCAGATTCAGGGTATCACCCTCTCTCACTGTGTTACAACCAGAGATCTTGGGTTCCTTCACATCTAGAAAACAAAGAACAGTGCATACAGATTATGTTCATGAAATTGAACTGTTGAAGCACAGCGTGAAGGTCAGATAACGAACAGTACTTACATGTCACATTCAATTTCAGTGTCTTCTTAGTGGTGACGCTGCCATTGAATGTCACCAGACATGTGACCTTGGTGCCGTGATGCTTAGTTGAGGGGGTAAAGGTCAAATCTGAGAAGTGGGATGTTGTGATGCTGGTCAGGTCCTCTTTCTCCTGTATGGTGCTGTTGTCTCGGAGCTCAGTGATGTTGTCCCCTGTCCCTCTCCATGTCCATGTGATGTTAGGAGGAGTTCCAGAGCAGGTCCCCGGGGCTGTGCAGGTCAGAGTGGCTGGTTCTCCCTCTGTCAGAGGAGGAGTCAACACTGAGGGCTTCTGGGTCAGAACTGGACACAGGAAATACAAAACACAGAAGTGAGTGTCTGTGTACCATACATCAGAGAAACATAATCAGACACAGTTTGACAGCATCATGTCTATGCTACCCCTGTAAAAAGTGTCTCACTGCTACAAATAATGCCAAATAAAGTCCACCATTGTTTAGAAAAAAGCAGACTTTGGAAAGGGAGAATTGGGAAGGGGGATCTTGGCATTTGTGAATTGGACGTACAGTGCATTTGGAAAGTATTCAGACCCCTTGACTTTTTCCACATTTTGTTACGTTACAGCCTTATTCTAAAGTGGATTAAATAGTTTTTTTTTCCCCTCTCCTCAACAATCTACACACAATGACTAAGCAAAAACAGGTTTTTGGAAATTTTTGCAAAAATAAATGAATAATAATAACGAATATCACATTTTCGTACAGTACCAGTCAAAAGTTTGGACACACCTACTCATTCAAGGGTTTTTCTTTATTTTTACTATTTTTTACATTTTAGAATAATAGTGAAGACATCACAACTATTAAATAACACATATGGAATCACGTAGTAACCAAAAAAGTGTTAAACAAATCAAAATATATTTCATATTTGAGATTCTTCAAAAAACCACCCTTTGCCTTGATGACAGCTTTGCACACTCTTGGCATTCTCTCAACCAACTTCATGAAGTAGTCACCTGGAATGCATTTCAATTAACAGGTGTACCTTGTTAAAAGTTAATTTGTGGAATTTATTTTCTTCTTAATGCGTTTGAGCCAATCAGTTGTGTTGTGACAAGGTAGGGGGGGGGGGTATACCTATTTGGTAAAAGACCACGTTCATATTATGGCAAGAACAGCTCAAATAAGCAAAGTGAAACAACAGTCCATCATTACTTTAAGACATGAAGGTCAGTCAATACGGAACATTTCAAGAACTTCGAAAGTTTCTTCAAGTGCAGTCGCAAAAACATAAAGCGCAATGATGAAACTGGCGCTCATGAGGACCGCCACAGGATTGAAAGACCCAGAGTTACCTCTGCTGCAGAGGATAAGTTCATTAGAGATACCAGCCTCAGAAATTGCAGCCCTAATAAATGCTTCACAGAGTTCAAGTCACAGACACATCTCAAAATCAACTGTTCAGAGGGGACTGCGTGAATCAGGACTTCATGGTCGAACTGCTGCAAAGAAACCACTACTAAAGGACACCAATAATAAGAGACCTGCTTTCACGAGCAATGGACATTAGACCGGTGGAAATTTGTCCTTTGGTCTGGAGTCCAAATTGCAGGTGTTTGGTTCCAACCGCCGTGTCTTTGTGAGACGCAGTGTGGGTGAACAGATGATCTCCGCATGTGTAGTTCCCACCTTAAAGCATGGAGGAGGAGGTGTTATTGTGTGGGGGTGCTTTGCTGGTGACACTGTCTGTGATTAATTTAGAATTCAAGGCACACTTAACTCGCATGACTACCACAGCATTCTGCAGCGATATGCCATACCATCTGGTTTGGGCTTAGTGGGTCTATCATTTGTTTTTCAACAGGTCAATTACCCAACACACCTCCAGGCTGTGTAAGGGTTATTTGACCAAGAAGGAGAGTGATGGAGTGCTGCACAGCTATTTTCAGGTCTCTCCAGAGATGCTAGATCGGGTTCAAGTCCGGACTCTGGCTGGGCCACTCAAGGACATTTAGAGACTTGTCAAATCAAATCAAATTGTATTTGTCACATGCGCCGAATACAACAGGTGTAGACCTTACAGTGAAATGCGTACTTACAAGCCCTTAACCAACAATGTAGTTTTAAGAAAAATAAGTGTTAAGTAAAAATAGATAAAAAAATAATTAAAGAGCAGCAGTAAAATAACAGTAGCCAGGCTATATACAGGGGGTACTGGTACAGAGTAAATGTGCGGGGGCACAGATTAGTCGATGTAATTGAGGTAATATGTACATGTAGGTAGAGTTAAAGTGACTATGCATAGATAATAAACAGAGAGTAGCTGCAGCGTAAAAGAGGGGGTGGGTTGGAACAATGCAGAACAGCTGATATTCTCATGTATGCTTCAATTTAGCTCATCTGGTAGGCTTGTGTCACTGGGCAGCTCTCCCTCGCCCTCCATTTGGAAAATCTGACCATAACTCTATCCTCCTGATTCCTGCTTATAAGCAAAAACTAAAGCAGGAAGCACCAGTGACTTGGTTAATAAAAAAGTTGTCAGATGACGCAGATGCTAAGCTACAGGACTGTTTTGCTAGCACAGACTGGAATGTGTTCCGGGATTCTTCAGATAGCATTGAGGAGTACACCACATCAGTCACAGGCTTCATCAATAAGTGCATCGATGACGTCGTCCCCACAGTGAACGTACGTACATACCCCAACCAGAAGCCATGGATTAGAGGCAACATCCGCACTGAGCTAAAGGGTAGAGCTGCCGCTTTCAAGGAGCGGGACTCTAACCCAGACGCTTATAAGAAATCCCGCTATGCCCTCCGACAAACCATCAAACAGACAAAGAGTCAATACAGGACTAAGATTGAATCGGACTACACCGGCTCTGACGCTCGTTGGATGTGGCAGGGCTTGAAAACTATTACAGACTACAAAGGGTAGCACAGCCGCGAGCTGCCCAGTGACACAAGCCTACCAGATGAGCTAAATCACTTCTATGCTCGCTTCGAGGCAAGCAACACTGAGGCATGCATGAGAGCATTAGCTGTTCCGGATGACTATGTGATCACGCTCTCCGTAGCCAATGTGAGTAAGACTTTTAAGCAGGTCAACATTCACAAGGCCGCAGAGCCAGACAGATTACCAGGACGTGTACTCTGAGCATGAGCTGACCAACTGGCAAGTGTCTTCACTGACATTTTCAACATGTCCCTGACTGAGTCTGTAATACTAACATCTTTCAAGCAGACCACCATAGTCCCTGTGCCCAAGGACACTAAGATAACCTGCCTAAATGACTACCGACCCATAGCACTCATGTCTGTAGCCATGAAGTGCTTTGAAAGACTGGTCATGGCTCACATCAACACCATTATCCCAGAAACCCTAGACCCACTCCAATTTGCATACCGCCCCAACAGATCCACAGATGATGCAATCTCTATTGCACTCCACACTGCCCTTTCCCACCTGGACGAGAGGAACACCTACGTGAGAATGCTATTCATTGACTACAGCTCAGCGTTCAACACCATAGTGCCCTCAAAGCTCATTACTAAGCTAAGGATCCTGGGACTAAACACCTCCCTCAGCAACTGGATCCTGGACTTCCTGACGGGCCACCCCCAGGTGGTAAGGGTAGGTAACAACACATCTGCCACGCTGATCCTCAACATGGGGCAGCGACAGGGCTGTAGTGGAACAGGTTGTGGTCCTCTGTAGCTCAGCTGGTAGAGCATGGCGCTTGTAACGCCAAGGTAGTGGGTTCGATCCCCGGGACCACCCATACACAAAAATGTATGCATGCATGACTGTAAGTCGCTTTGGATAAAAGCGTCTGCTAAATGGCATATTATTATTGTTTATTATTAGGTTGAGAGCTTCAAGTTCCTTGGTGTCCACATCACCAACAATCTATCATGGTCCAAACACACCAAGACAGTCATGAAGAGGACACGACAAAGCCTATTCCCCCTCAGGAGACTGAAAAGATTTGGCATGGGTCCTCAGATCCTCAAAAAGTTCTACAGCTGCACCATCGAGAGCATCCTGACTGGTTGCATCACTGCCTGGTATGGAAACTGCTCGGCCTCTGACCGCAAGGCACTACAGAGGGTAGTGCATACGGCCCAGTACATCACTGGGGCCAAGCTTCCTGCCATCTAGGACCTCTATACCAGGCGGTGTCAGAGGGAGGCCCTAAAAAAAAGACTCCAGCCACCCTAGTCATAGACTGTTCTCTCTGCTACCGCGCGGCAAGCGGTACCGGAGCGCCAAGTCTAGGTCCAAAAGGCTTCTCAACAGCTTCTACCCCCAAGCCATAAGACTCCTGAACAGCTAATCATGGCTACCCAGACTATTTGCACTCCCCCCCCACCCCATCCCCCTCCTTTACGCTGCTGCTACTCTGTTGATTATTTATGCATAGTCACTTTAACTCTACCCACATATACATATTACCTAAATTACCTCGACTAGCCGGTGCCCCCGCACATTGATTCTGTACTGGTACCCCCTGTATATAGCCTCCCTACTGTTATTTTACTTTATTGCTCCCTATTTGCTTTAAAAAAAAAAAAAATTATTTTAATTTTTTCTTTGAGAAAAACTTCATTGTTGGTTAAGGGCTTGTTAGTAAGCATTTCACTGTAATGTCTACACCTGTTGTATTCGGCACATGTGGCAAATAACATTTGATTTGATTTTATTAATCCTGGAACATGCTTCAAAAGATATTAAAATTAGGGGAGTTAGTGTCCTTGCCTGTTTTAAAGAATCTGATCGACAACACTGTTTGTGATAGCTGCAGTTGTTTCTAATCTTCAATTGTATCTGTAACTTGTGACACTTTGTCTTTTGTGTGTATTTTGTATTTTACTGTAATATTTGATGTACACGCTGCTATTTCCCTGTTTTGCCTTCTTGCCAGGTCGCCCTCGCAAAATAGGTTTTTAACCTCAATGGGTCTTACCTGGTTAAATAAAGGTTAAATAAAAAATAAAGTATATATACACAGATCGCCATCCCTTGTCTTACCGGAGGAAGCTGTTCTATCTTGCCAATACAGCGTATATCCCGCCAGCTGTATGTTATCCATGTCGTCATTCAGACATGACTCGGTGAAACATAAGATATTACCGTTTTTTAATGTCCCGTTGGTAGGATATCCGTGATCGTTGTTCGTCTATTTTGTTATCCAACGATTGTAAATTGGCTGATAGGATTGATGTTAGAAGCAGATTACCCACTCACCATCAGATCCTTACAAGGCACCCCGACCTACGTCCCCGATATCTCCGTCTCTTTCTCATGCGAATGACGGGGATCTGGGCCTTGTCGGTTGTCTGAAGAAAATCGTTAAATATTTTTTTATGTCCAGTACGAGGTGAGTAATCGCTGTCTTGATATCCAGAAGCTCTTTTCGGTCATAAGAGACGGTGGCAGAAACATTATGTACAAAATAAGTTACAAATAATGTGAAAAAACACACAAAATAGCAAAATTGGTTAGGCGCCTGTAAAACGGCAGCCATCTCCTCCGACCCCACTCCTGTGTTGTCTTGGCTGTGTACTTAGGGTTGTTGTGTTCTTGGGGACCTTCAATGCTGCAGAAATTTTTTGGTACCCTTCCCCAGATCTGTGCCTCAACACAATCCTGTCTCGGAGCTCTACGGACAATCCTTCAACCTCATGGCTTGATTTCTCTCTGACTTGCACTGCCAACTTTAGGACCTTATATAGACAGGTGTGTGCCTTTCCAAATCATGTCCAATCAATTGAATTTACCACAGGTGGACTCCAATAAAGTTGTGGAAATATCTCAAGCATGATCAATGGAAACAGGATGCACCTGAGCTCAATTTCGAGTCTCATAGCAAATGGTCTTAATACTTATGTAAATAAGGTATTTCTGTTTTTAATTCTTAATACATTTGCAAGCATTTCTAAAAAACAGTTTTCGCTTTGTCATTATGGGGTATTGTGTGGATTGATGAGGATTTTTTATTTATTGAATCCTTTTTAGAATAAGAATGTGATGTAACAAAATGTGGAAAAAGTTAATGGGTCTGAACACTTTCCGAATGCACTGTATGTAGCTGTATGTTACAGTCAGTGTCCATATTTAACTACAGTAATTGTCATGTCAATGTAACTGACAGTAATAGTCATGCTGTACCTGTCACTGTGATTTTCATTTTCCGTGGGTATGTAAATGGTCCTTCTAACATTCTGAATTGATACATTCCAGTGTCCTTTTCTCTTATGTCGTTGATGATCACACTACAGTTCCCCTTTGTCAGGTCTGTCTCCAGAAGAGACACTCTCTGTTTATAACCCTCCTGAGCCTTAGAGGGATCTTTGGAGTGGAAAATTAGCTTTCTATGCTGAACACATTTGCCATTTGAAGGGCATTTGTACCATATTGCTGTGGTAGGCTTGACGTTAGCAGGGTGAGTGAAAGTACATGAAATAACAGCACATAGGCCAGTCTGTGCTGTTATTTTCTCTGGGCTAAAGGTGATGCTGTATGTGTTTGCAGCTGCTGGAGCTGCTGCTGGATGGGCCTTATCTAAGAGGGAAATGAATACAGTCATGAGTAATTCAGAAAGCACTTGGATACTACTTCACTTGTCCGTAACATTTAGGATGATACAGAATCAGTTTAGATTAAAATGGGTTACCACTACGACTACCACATCTATACAACTACAAATGATTTCAATATACTTTAATTATAAAAGGGACCCTACTTTGACATGTTGCTCTCTCTGTGAGAGAGAATAGTAGAGCTGTGCAGATAAGGACCCACATCCTGCCTCCACTGCCTCGATGAATCAACCACAACACCAGGGTCTGTCCTCTTTCACCTCTCTCTCTGGTCACCTTGTCTGTGTCCACAGGTCTGGAGCACAGAGAGAGTATATAATAACATAATAAATAGTGTTAAACAAGCAGTGAACATTTGAAATTCACTCTCACCTTTGATGCGCATGAAACAAGTTTTCTGGACATTTTGATAAAGAGGGAGGGGGGGGGGGGGGGCTTTAGCACGGACCTATACAGGAAGCCGACGGACAGGAATTCCCTGTTACGCGGAGACAGCTTCCACCCTACACCCCTAAAAAATAGCCTCCCCATCAGCAAATAGAGTCGCATACGCAGGATATATAGTACACAGAGTGACTATAACAAACAAGCCGACTGTCTGGATGAGCGTTTCAGACAGCGGGATTACCCAGAGGAATGGCTGCATGACGCAAGGGATTGTTATAAAAATATGACTCAGGATGACAGCCTCACGCCCAAACCACCCCGCCCTCCTGACCAACACATCCAATGCTTCCCTCAGTACTCCCCACTTGGTAAACAGTTCGACCATATCATAAAAAAACACTGGCACATCTTGAGCACTGATCCACAACTGGAAAAGACATTTAAAGAACTTACGCGGGTAGTCTTCAGACGCGCCCCCAACATCAGTCAAATGGTGGTAAGGTCTGATCTTCCACCACGTAGCACCTACCTAAACAATGTGCCGGACGGTAATTACAGATGTGGTCGATGTACCAAGTGTAACTTTACGAACAAATGCACAATGTTCAATTACTCTATCACGGGCAAGGGGATCATTACATGTTCCACAAAAAATGTGATATACCTGATTGAAATGTATTTGTGGCCTATGCTATGTAGGAAAAACGAAACGAGCTCTGAAAACAAGAATAGCAGAACACAGGAGTTATATCAGGAACCTTGACCAGAGAAACCCTGTGGCTGCGCATTTCATGGAGGCTCCTCACAATATTAGCTCTGAGATACATTGGTATCGAACATGTTAAGACTCATAAGAGGGGGGAGGGATACTGATAATATATTATTGAGAAGAGAATTGTATTGGATTCACCGTTTGTGCACCATGTCTCCTAAAGGTCTGAACCAAGAGTTTGTCACTTTGATTTGTCTTGCCTTCCAGGTCTCATATTTGGTCATTTTGTACATATATATTAGATTCTGTAACTACTACATGTGCCCATCTCATTGACATCAAATTATTAGAGCTTGTTTTTGAAATAGGTCACTGGAATTATACCTAAGGCCACCTCACCTCCTGCGTGTAATGGTCAGACGGGCGGGTATTCGAACGGTTTCCAACAATCAATTTTTTCTGTTGCCTAGGTTTTAACTTGAACCCATTTGAATGTTGTGGGAAATTATTCTCTTATATTTTAGATGTGCTGTTAGCTTAGAAAGAATACATTCATGATTAAACATAATAGGTTTGTACTGTACTGATATAGACTGTTTAATATGACAAGCTGTGATTAATGTGGGGAACTGTTAGGGGGTAGGATGAGATAAGACTTGTGTCTCACATACACACACACTGCCTCTTTGTTAAACCGCTCAAGGACAGACTATGTCTGAGGTTGCTGACTCGAGACAAGTTGTGGAGATAACAACTAATGCCTGGCAACAGTGAAGCACCAAGGGGCTGGGACCAGCCTGTGCGCCAACGATAGGCTGAGTAAGTCTAAAACCACGCTCAGTCTCTACTCTGATAGGCCTGCTTGGAGCAGGAACTATCTCTGTCAGAGTATTTAAAGAAGAACTTATAACAATGGCTCAGTTCTCTGACTGCCCTGCGTGGTGTTTCAGTGGACCCGTATATACGAACATCATATTTACCATTGAAGTGTTTTGCATTAATTAAAATACTGGTCTATTTTAGAAGACGTGTATTGACCTCTTTTTGTTCCTATACCAGATTTGAATTGACGCAACTTAACAATGTATATAATCCTTTATGACCATATGCACCTCTGTGATTAATTATGATTGATTGTGCACAAAAGTGAATTGAATTGTTTCCACGCCCACAATGAGTCATGTGCGTATTGGTCATATGAGATGAAATGTGTATATTTTGGGAAGTGAGCAGTCAGTTTGTTTGACCTGACAAAGATCCGTTTCCGCTCGAAACGTTGTCAATAAAGTAGGCATTCATAACATCTGACATGAACGTTTCATGACACGTTTATGATTGTTACAACCTTCTTAGCACATTTTTTCAACTAATTTAATACATCAGAGAAGATGTCAAACTTCTAGTAATGCTTTATTTTACCCTAATTGTCTGGAATGTATTTAGAAACCACATGGTAGCAGAGTAATTAGATACCATTTTACCTAAGTTGTCATGGAGAGTCATTGTAACAAACAAACTACCAATTGTTTCTACCAAGGAGTTACTAGTTTTGTTAAACAATTTCAAGTAATGTCCAGAGTTGCACATTTTCTCCAAGTCCTTTAACAGTTGTTGTTTTTTGCCATGCAGAGAATAAGACTGAATCAGCACATTACCTCTCTCTATGTATGCTCTCCCTGTTGATTGTGAGTCCTGTGTGAGACTGATGGGTGTGAACTGTCACTTCATGTCCCCAGTCTGTTACTCCTCCCTCTAACCTGGTGCTGCGATCCAGGAAGTCCCTCTGTACAGTATACCGTCCAGCCATACTATACTGTACATAGACCATAATCAACCAACCCATCAAACCAACCCATCAAACCAACCCATCAAACTCCATCAATCCATACCCATCAACCAACACTGGAATCCCCATAGCTTTTATATTCAGATAGTTTATTTCTAATTTGTACCTTATTCAAAACCAGTAATAGTGTCATGTTGTGTAGTTGTAATGTTGATGTAGTCATAAATCAACATAATTGACCACTATACAGAGATCTAACTGCAATTTCTCTAAAACAATATTACTGTAAAATCCATTATGCCTTCTTGGTCTTCAGCTCAGTTTCCCATGATGTGTTTTACTTTAACCAGATCTGATAGTTAGCCTTACAGCTTCCACTCTACACCCCTAAAAAAGAGCCTCCCCATCATCCAATACAGTCGCATACGCAGGATATATAGTACACAGAGTGGGATGTAGGGTGGAAGCTGACTCTCAATATTGATATAGGTGGGGTTTGACTTCTCCTAAATACTTACATTTGAACTGTACTCCCTAAAATACAGTATGTGTTGCTGTTATTAGAAAAAAGTATGTTCAGATCAGAACAGGCCTCATGCCTCAACATGGACATTATCGTGATATATTTTCTGGTGACTAATCCTTTAAACGTCTTTCAACCAGTGGCAGCCACTGATTTGCTGAATACTCAAGGCTATCCATCTACAGAAAAGCCATCTTTCTTTGATTCCAAGCTAAAATAAATGAAGAAAACAACAGGAAATGTGGCAAGTTTGAAATCTGTATTCTTAGCACATCTCCTAAACAGTAAGGTAGAAATACCCCCCCAATTACAGTTCTCCATTACTTTATTAACAGTTATCCTCATGCCACTTCTACATCACACAAATATATGTTTAACCATTTACAGTGCCTTGCAAAAGTATTCATCCCCCTTGGTGTTTTTCCTATTTTGTTGCATTACAACCTGTAATTTAAATTGATTTTTATTTGGATTTCATGTAATGGACATACACAAAATAGTCAAAATTGGTGAAGTGAAATGAAAAAAATAACTTGTTTCAAAAAATTATAAAAAATTAATAACGGAAAAGTGGTGTGTGCATATGTATTCACCCCCTTTGCTATGAAGCCCCTAAATAAGATCTGGTGCAACCAATTACCTTCAGAAGTCACATAATTAGTTAAATAAAGTCCACCTGTGTGCAATCTAAGTGTCACATGATCTGTCACATGATCTCAGTGTATATACACCTGTTCTGAAAGAACCCAGAGTCTGCAACACCACTAAGCAATGTGCACCACCAAGCAAGCAGCACCATGAAGACCAAGGAGTTCTCCAAACAGGTCAGGGACAAAGTTGTGGAGAAGTACAGATCAGGGTTGGGTTATAAAAAAAATATCAGAAACTTTGAACATCCCACGGAGCACCATTAAATCCATTATTAAAAAATAGAAAGAATATGGCACCACAACAAACCTGCCAAGAGAGGGCCGCCCACCAAAACTCACGGACCAGGCAAGGAGGGCATTAATCAGAGAGGCAACAAAGAGACCAAAAATAACCCTGAAGCGCTGCAAAGCTCCACAGCGGAGTTTGGAGTATCTGTCCATAGGACCACTTTAAGCCGTACACTCCACAGAGCTGGGCTTTACTGAAGAGTGGCCAGAAAAAAGCCATTGCTTAAAGAAAAAAATAAGCAAACACGTTTGGTGTTCGCCAAAAGGCATGTGGGACACTCCCCAAACATATGGAAGAAGGTACTCTGGTCAGTTGAGACTAAAATTGAGCTTTTTGGCCATCAAGGAAAACGCTATGTCTGGCGCAAACCCAACACCTCTCATCACCCCGAGAACACCATCCATGTTTTTTTGTCTTATTTCTTGTTTTTTTCACACAAAAAAAATATTTTGCATCTTCAAAGTGGTAGGCATGTTGTGTAAATCAAATGATACAAACCCCCCAAAAATCAATTTTAATTCCAGGTTGTAAGGCAACAAAATAGGAAAAATACCAATGGGGGTGAATACTTTCGCAAGCCACTGTAACCTGCCAATAATTGCAACTGCAGTATCAGAATCAGGCCAGGATTCAATCCGAGCTACAATGCTGCTTTGAATGGTTTTGGTAAATGCTTTATTTTACAGCTCTGTGTCAGATGGTACTGTATGTGCCTGGTGGTTGTACATTTTCAATACAAATATTTGCTAGTTGTACAAAGAAGCAAGTTTTGGTAATGTTTTTGTAATGTTTTTAAGGAAGTGTAATTTTACTTTTGGAATGTTTCTGTTTTGTCACCATGGGGTAGAGATGTCAAACCATTTCCTGTTTTTCTCCTCTGTTCCTTTAATTTTGCATTTCTACTGGGGGGGGGGGGGGGGGGGGGGGGGGTGGCATTGCAGGGGGGAAGCAAAACTTGCAAAACTTTCAAGTGGGCAAAACCATTCATCTTGAGATGACGGGGGAGGGGGTGTAGTCAACATTACTAATAATTGAAAATAACAAAATTCCCAATGGATCATGATACTTTCTGGTTTAAAAAAAAAGTAGGGGTGCATTTGCAGCTGCTGCGTTTGCTACGTTGCTCAGGGCAGCCACTGTTTTGGTTCAGTGCATTTAAAGGCTTTGCATGGTCAATCTGGCATCTATTGCGATATGGCCTCTGCAGAAGTCAGGGCATTTACTGTATACTTCTTGTAGAGCTGTTGTGAAGGAAGTTGTCAAGGAAGTGAGTTTGTGTTTATACTGGACCTCCCGTCCACCAATCATGTCAATGCAGAGGTATATGGAGACCTCCGGCATTGTTACACAATTGTGGCGGTGCATGGCGATGAGGTATGGAGCTCACTTTGGCCTCTGCATGCCTCCGGAGACTCCGCAATTGCTTCACACCATCCATATGGCGCCATATTTCCAGATCAAGCTAAAATAGGCTTTTAAAGGCGCTTCATGGTCAATCTGTTGTCTGCATAGGCTGTGCAGCATTTACAGTGATACAGTCTCTGCAGAAGTCAGGGCATTCATCCTTATTGCTCTTCTTTGAGCAGTGCAGAGCTGTTGTCAAGGAAGTGAGTTTGTGTTTATAAAGGACCTCCCATCCCCAACTACCATCAATCAATCATGTCAATGCGGAGCTATATGGCACCCTCTGCATTGTTTGGGAGGCACACAGCAATGCGGTATGGAGCTCGATTTGGCCTCTGCATGCCCCCGGGTTCCACAATTGCGTCACACCCTCCATATGAAGCCTCCGACCACATTTTCAGATCAAGCAGAAGTTGGCTTTTAGAAAGCACTAGTTGCTCCACTGGTGTTTAAAATGGAAAGGCACGTGCAAAGAAAATTGCTTGTCTATTTTGTTGTACAACTATCTGGTGGAATGTGCTTTGAAAATTAAAAAAATGTTTGTCTTGAAGGCAAAGTTAATTTGCTTTGACTCTCGTGTTCATAGGCCTACATGTGCATTTGCGGGGCACAACAAAACATTAACCAAGCCAATAACACAGTTCTTCTCCCTAAATTCCCTTTTCGCTCTGTGTCACTCACTCAAATGCGTTCTGACCGCTCCCTCTACACACGCGTCCTGAGTGCTTGCACAAGCTCACATTAGGCCTACAGAAATAAATGCCTATAAAACGTATCTAAGCTAAATTCCTTGCAAAACGACGACAGTTTTATCACAAATTCTAAATGGACTGGTTGATTGAAGTAGGGAAATATGTGTTCCAACAATGGGTTGCAGTTTTGGAATAATTGTGTCTTGTCTATTTTCCGCTTAGGCTACTTTGCAAACTGCTAGTTTAGAGTTGGTTAGGATATAACCCCCCTAAACATAGACATGTTCCACACTGATAACATGCAAAAACATTAGTTTAATAAAGACAAAGAGCATATTTTCATCAGAATCATTAAGCCTACGTACCAAACAGATGTTGTGGCCGTAATTCATCACCATACAGTGATCGATGTGGAATTGTCCATTTAGAAAATTCCAAAGAACAGGCAGAATGCTCTAAATCAATCATCTATTTATTGAAAAGAAGATAGATTTGGGTTTGTAACGCTGAAAAGATAGTCTTTCAACTCGCTATATTGAGCCCTGTTTCAAATGATCACTCTTTGAGAAGAACTGTTCCAGACTGGAGATGAGCATCACTTCCCACTGCCAACTTTTTTCATTTTCAGAAAATATTTGGTTATATTTTATTCTGTTATAGTACATCATGTTTTTTTACTATAAAATAGGTGTGTCTTGACTGTGATAAGGGCTTGGGAAATAAGAGTGTCTTGTCTGCTAAATCAACAGAACAAGGCTATATACGATTGCACAGCCATAGGCTTCTAAACTCAGCAAAAAAAGAAACGTCCCTTTTTCAGGACCCTGTCTTTCAAAGATAATTAGTACAAATCCAAATAACTTCACAGATCTTCATTGCAAAGGGTTTAAACACTGTTTCCCATGCTTGTTCAATGAACCATAAACAATTAATGAACATGCACCTGTGGAACGGTCGTTAAGACACTAACAGCTTACAGATGGTAGGCAATTAAGGTCACAGTTATGAAAACTTAGGACACTAAAGAGGCCTTTCTACTGACTCTGAAAAACACCAAAAGAAAGATGCCCATCTGCGTGAACGTGCCTTAGGCATGCTGCAAGGAGGCATGAGGACTGCAGATGTAGCCAGGGCGATAAATTGCAATGTCCGTACTGTGAGATGCCTAAGACAACGCTACAGGGAGACAGGACGGACAGCTGATCATCCTTGCAGTGGCAGACCACGTGTAACAACACCTGCACAGGATCGGTACATCCGAACATCACACCTGTGGGACAGGTACAGGATGGCAACAACAACTGCCCAAGTTACACCAGGAACGCACAATCCCTCCATCAGTGCTCAGACTGTCCGCAATAGGGTGAGAGAGGCTGGACTGAGGGCTTGTAGGCCTGTTGTAAGGCAGGTCCTCACCAGACATCACCGGCAACAACGTCGCCTATGGGCACAAACCCACCGTCGCTGGACCAGACAGGACTGGCAAAAAGTGCTCTTCACTGACGAGTCGCGGTTTTGTCTCACCAGGGGTGATGGTCGGATTCGCGTTTATCGTCAAAGGAATGAGCATTACACCGAGACCTGTACTCTGGAGCATGGACTGCACAAGGTGTCGAAAGCGTTCCACAGAGATGTTGGCCCATGTTGACTCAAGTTGGCTGGATGTCCTTTGGGTGGTGGACCATTCTTGATACACAAGGGAAACTGTTGAGCGTGAAAAACCCAGCAGCGTTGCAGTTCTTGACACAAACCGGTGCACCTTGCACATAGTACAATACCTCGTTCAAAGGCCCTTAAATATTTTGTCTTGCCCATTTACCCTCTGAATGGCACACATACACCATTAATTGTCTCAAGGCTTCAAAATCCTTCTTTAACCTGTCTCATCCCCTTCAGCTACACTGATTGAAGTGGATTTAACAAGTGACATCAATAAGGGATCATAGCTTTCACCTGGATTCACCTGGTCAGCCTATGTCATGAAAAAAGCAGGTGTTCTTAATGTTTTGTGCACTCAGTGTATATGGAGCAATATAGCAATTAGGATGTGTTATCTGTAATGGTTATGATAAATTAGGCATTGTTGCGCAATGTTGGCATTTAGATAAATGTGCACATTTTTCTCTGCCCTTGTGTTAAAAAAAAATATAATTTCTTCATTCAAGTACTCTAGTTCAATATAATTAATAAGAACCTAAGAAAAATGTTTGTGCTCTGTTCATAAATATTGATTCCCCCTGTGAAGAAACAGCATAAAATTGCAGGAACATATTTTTTAAATGATTTAATTCTATAAATGTATTTGACACCTCCACTTTCAGACAAAGTGTTGGGGGTATGGGGTAGGGGTAGGACGTGTCATTGTAATCATTATACTTCTGAACATAGAATACTCATATAGTGCAGAATAATGCTGCAATATGCAATAAATACATCTAATTATGCTTTTAAAAGTTGTGTGTGCTATGAGAATATTTTGCTATTTATGTATGAATCTGTACTGTTTTGTTATTGACACACTACCTCACTTTGGAAGGTTTAGTGTATTTTCATTTGTATGTTCTCTAAAATCTGTTCAAATAATGTGTAAATGGTGTATTTATTAAATTATTTTCAACCTACCGTCTCCAGATTTGTTTTTCCAACAGTATTTATCCCGATGATATTAATGTTAAGCACAATTTACACAAAAATAAAAAACAAACAAAAAAACAACTTTTATACAACTATTTCAGTTCATTTACCATGTATTCTATGTTGACATTGGAACATGCATCGCCCTCAAATTCAAATCTGGACCTCAAAGCCAGTTCCTCTACTTTGGGACACCAGTGGGTGCAATAAATCAGGCAGAACAGAAAACCAACAGTAGTCCGAACCTCGTAGGGTAAGAGTTGAATACCCCTGATGTATATGGTTTCCTCTGAACACAAATCCAACAGAGGGTGTGTGATTTGGGTTACAGTAGCAGAAAATGGAGACAATCCAACTGCCTTTCACACAGAACATCTGATTGTGTGATGGTGGATATTTCTTTGGTACTGTAGGAATCTGCTGAGTATCATCAAATCAAATCAAATCAAATTGTATTTGTCACATGCGCCAAATACAACAGGACCTTACCGTGAAATGCTTAGTTACAAGCCCTTAACCAACAATGCAGTTCAAGAAAGACTTAAGAAAATATTTAGCAAATAAACACAATAAAATAACAATAACGAGGCTATATACTACTGCTACGTTCATGGATATCCAGGCATGAGGCCCTGGTTGAAAACTCACATCAGACTAAGTATTGTTAGAGTAAATTAAGGCATTATCATAGAAGTGAAACAGACATTCTAATACAGAGTTATACCCTACTTCTTTGTTTTAGTACTGTGAAAATAAAATGTATTTCCTTTGTTGAGTGTCACAGGTTGAAGAAGAGAAACTAACCTGTCACAATCAAGGAATTCTCAAAGACCTACTGGACAAACTCACTATAAATACATATATGATTCCTTAGGTTTGGACTAGAAGAAAATTAAGATGAAAACTTGTCCCTTTGCCATTGTTTCCACTCAAACAAACTGTCAGTATGAACATCATGTACTCTGTCATGTGTGTGAGTATGTGCTCATACTGGATTAAGGGTGAGACTACATGATTAGAATGTTCCACTCACAGTACAGAGCCTGTAAATAGATCTAGTAGACAGTCAGCACACTTCGCTTGTATTGAGGATATATCCAGTGGCGATTTTAGCATGTTGATTTTTTAATGCATGCCACTACACAACACAACACTAAACAATACATGAATTGCACTCTAACGGTGCCCACAAACTGTTAGGGCCTACATACAGCTGTCCAAACAGCAGAGTCCCAACAGCAGTCCCAACACCTTCCCACTGCTACACTTGGCTATCAGCGGAGCCTTGTCTGGCAGCGAAACAGTTCATTCAGCCTCATTTACATAGCTGATATGGCTGACTTGCTTAAACAAATGTGGTTTCTACTGACAATTGAGATTTACAAACTATGGCATATGGGGATGATGAGCGGATAAGAGGCAATCCGTAATTTTGATTAAGACATTCATGATCGAGTTAGGACGGATGTAGTCAATATAACTATTTGTTCAGCACTTTTGAAATGTACAGTGACAGAACATGGGCCATTCTAATAGTATTCTCCCTGTACACCAAGTCAGAACCGTAAGATAAATAAAGGGGGCATACAGTGGGGGAAAAAAGTATTTAGTCAGCCACCAATTGTGCAAGTTCTCCCATTTAAAAAGATGAGAGAGGCCTGTAATTTTCATCATAGGTACACGTCAACTATGACAGACAAAATGAGAAAAAAAATCCAGAAAATCACATTGTAGGATTCTTAATGAATTTATTTGCAAATTATGGTGGAAAATAAGTATTTGGTCAATAACAAAAGTTTCTCAATACTTTGTTATATACCCTTTGTTGGCAATGACACAGGTCAAACGTTTTCTGTAAGTCTTCACAAGGTTTTCACACACTGTTGCTGGTATTTTGGCCCATTCCTCCATGCAGATCTCCTCTAGAGCAGTGATGTTTTAGGGCTGTCGCTGGACAACACAGACTTTCAACTCCCTCCAAAGATTTTCTATGGGGTTGAGATCTGGAGACTGGCTAGGCCACTCCAGGACCTTGAAATGCTTCTTACGAAGCCACTCCTTCGTTGCCCGGGCGGTGTGTTTGGGATCATTGTCATGCTGAAAGACCCAGCCACGTTTCATCTTCAATGCCCTTGCTGATGGAAGGAGGTTTTCACTCAAAATCTCACGATACATGGCCCCATTCATTCTTTCCTTTACACTGATCAGTCGTCCTGGTCCCTTTGCAGAAAAACAGCCCCAAAGCATGATGTTTCCACCCCCATGCTTCACAGTAGGTATGGTGTTCTTTGGATGCAACTCAGCATTCTTTGTCCTCCAAACACGACGAGTTGAGTTTTTACCAAAAAGTTATATTTTGGTTTCATCTGACCATATGACATTCTCCCAATCCTCTTCTGGATCATCCAAATGCACTCTAGCAAACTTCAGACGGGCCTGGACATGTACTGGCTTAAGCAGGGGGACACGTCTGGCACTGCAGGATTTGAGTCCCTGGCGGCGTAGTGTGTTACTGATGGTAGGCTTTGTTACTTTGGTCCCAGCTCTCTGCAGGTCATTCACTAGGTCCCCCCATGTGGTTCTGGGATTTTTGCTCACCGTTCTTGTGATCATTTTGACCCCACGGGGTGAGATCTTGCGTGGAGCCCCAGATCGAGGGAGATTAGCAGTGGTCTTGTATGTCTTCCATTTCCTAATAATTGCTCCCACAGTTGATTTCTTCAAACCAAGCCGCTTACCTTGTCTCCCGAGTGGCGCAGTGGTCTAAGGCACTGCATCACAGTGCTAGCTGTGCCACTAGAGATCCTGGTTCGAATCCAGGCTCTGTCGTAGCCGGCCGTGACCGGGAGACCCATGGGACGGCGCACAATTGGCCCAGGGTAGGGGAGGGAATGGCCGGCAGGGATGTAGCTCAGTTGGTAGAGCATGGCGTTTGCAACGCCAGGGTTGTGGGTTTGATTCCCACGGGGGGCCAGTATAAAAAATTTTTATAAAAATAATGTATGCACTCACTAACTGTAAGTCGCTCTGGATAAGAGCGTCTGCTAAAATGTAAATGTACCAATTGCAGATTCAGTCTTCCCAGCCTGGTGCAGGTCTACAATTTTGTTTCTGGTGTCCTTTGACAGGTCTTTGGTCTTGGTCTCCGTAATGGAGTTTGGAATGTGACTGTTTGAGGTTGTGGACAGGTGTCTTTTATACTGATAACAAGTTCAAACAGGTGCCATTAATACAGGTAACGAGTGGAGGACAGAGGAGCCTCTTAAAGAAGAAGTTACAGGTCTGTGAGAGCCAGAAATCTTGTTTGTTTGTAGGTGACCAAATACTTATTTTCCACCGTAATTTGCAAATAAATTCATTAAAAATCCTACAATGTGATTTTCTGGAGAAAAAAATGTATCAATTTGTCTGTCATAGTTGACGTGTACCTATGATGAAAATTACAGGCCTCTCTCATATTTTTAAGTGGGAGAACTTGCACAATTGGTGGCTGACTAAATACTTTTTTTCCCCACTGTATAAGAAGACAATGAAAGCTCTTACAATATTCAATGATTACATTTATCTAAAACAGGCTATAGGCTACATGTGCACTTTCAAGTCAGAACAGTAGGCAAAATTAAGAGGGGTAAAGGGACTAAATTATTAGGGTGAAGCACATGGGCCACTAACAGCTTACTACACAACATACACTTAGTATTACTTTCTTAGCTACAGTATATCTCCCTGGTATATTACATAATTTATGCAGCAGCATACAATACATTTTTGGACTCAGCTTGTTGTGCTGTGCACACTTGAACAGGAAGGTGGCGCAGCGGTCCTTTGTGGGCAAATTCTGTCATCAAAGTCTGGCATTCTCTGGATTTGTGGTGCTTTCATGACAACTGGGAACTTGGAAAAAAAACAATGTTGAATCATGATGATGTCAGTGATCTTCAGGTTGGAGCTCTAGAAAGAAGCCCGAGTTCCCGACTTACAATTCCGAGTTGGATGACCGTTCAAAACGTATTTTCCCAGTCAGAGTGACAGAACACTGAGCCAATCACGGCGCAACTAGAGAACATAACCAACCCCTATGCTCCATATTTTCCACTGGCTGCCCCATCACCATAGAAAGCATTGAGCTAGGCTGAAACACCTGCATTTTGGAGCTGCCTTACTCAAGAAAGCAAAAAAGAGACCAAGTTTGTATGCAGCTTTATTAACTCAATGATTATTTTAGTTTTTTTACAAACCGATATGTGACACGTATTAATGCCAAAATAACATGCAAAACAGACAACCCAAAACCTTTTAAACGTTTTTAAGCTAAAAAGGTGGGGCTAAAAACAGGTGGGGTTCTGCTCTGAATGACGCGTTGCCACTGGATATATCTGCTATTGATAATTGGGAATAGGGATTGCTTTCCCTATTAAGGTCTGCCCTTAGGGCTTTTCATCTAGGTGTAAGTTAAGGCAGGTAGACTAGCGGTTAAGAGCGTTGGGCCAATAACCAAAAGGTTGCTATTTTGAAACCTGAGCCGGCAAGGTGGAAAAATCTGCCGTTAACCCCCAACAACTGAACGCTGATGGCATAGACGTTGATTAAGACAGCCCCCTGCACATTTCTGATTCAGAAGGGTTGGGTTAAATGCGGAAGACACATTTTGGTTGAATGCATTCAGTTGTGCAACTGACTAGGTAAAACAGTTAGTTGGATCTAAGCTTGTGTGTTTGTTTACACAATACTTTAATTTGACCAATTATGTAGTATACATTGTTATTCTGTTTAATTTTATGAATTTTGTTTTATCCCCAAATGATTAAGCAGAAAGGTCCACGTTTACCGGTCCACATGGGCTGTGAATGTCAGATTTTGCCCTTGACTTCTAATCAGAGACTGATAAATACCTCGGTATTAAGCCGTGTGGAACTAACAGCCAGTCAATGACATTAACTGATATGCCAATTTAATTGATCAATTACGTGCCAAAGAAATGTGATCCTCCACTATTAAGGTGTGTGTCTGTTCCTATGTGCTGTCGTATGCTAATGTCCATCCTCCCCTTTCTCACAGCCAAGGCTGCCTTCCTTAACGCCCTCCGTGGTGTGGGCCCTGAGGATGAAGGGGCCGCCCTCCCCCTCTCCCCCACCCCTCCAGAGGATCTGGCCATCTACCCCACCCCAAACACCCAGACTTCTGCCTGTGTGACCTGCCACCCGTCCCCACAGCCTTGCCCTTTGACCCCGCAGCCTTGCTGGCCTTCGAGATGGACACGGAGAAAAGCCTGGAAGAGAGGAGGGAGGCCAGCCTGGAGGCGCGGAAGGCCAAGGGGGTGGCCCTGCCTACGGTTTTCCGTAGGGTGTGGGCGGTCGCCTCGCTCTTTGACGGGATGTCAGCCATCCATGTGCCCCTGGTGGCCTTGTATGGTGGACACCAGCGTGGGTGTGAGGATTCTCACCAAGACCAGGGCCCTGCTCATTATTCTCTCCGCCCTATGGCAAAATTAGTAAAATTGCATTAAATCAGTTATAAAATTGCAAAATCTTCTCTGAACCCCATGGCAAAATGTGTAAATTTGCAGCAAACTTGCTTTAAAACTGCAACATTTCTCTAAGTCCCAAAGCAAATTGTGTAGAATTGCAGGAAATTAACTAAAAAATTTATAAAATAATTATCTGCAGTTTATGGGGGCCCTAAAATGTTGTGCTCGCAAGGTGGGGGAAACAACATTTAGCTTAGAGCCCTCAAAAGGCTAGGACCGGCTCTGGCTACATGTGTGAGTATGGATGTGGGTAGGCAGACCCGCGAGCCACTGCTGCCTCCCATGATGAGTTCAGATTTTTTGTGGCCCCCACCCCCATCAAAGTTGCCCATCCCTGATTTATACCATCAGTAGCCTATAATTACTGTTGAATGAAATTTGTGGAGATGGTAGGTTGGAAATAGCTAAAAAAAAGACACCATTCATACATGCTTTGAACAGATTTCAGAGAACAAACCAATGAAAATACACAAAACCATTAAAAGTGAGGTAGTGCTTCAATATAAAACAATGTTGAAATAATGCACACTTATAAATAGAAAAATATTCTCATAGATGGGTTAGCTGACAATGTCATGAAAACGATACACACGCTTCAATGGGGCAGAAGGCTGTGTGTTATCGTGAATCTGGATGGCCAGATAGCTACAGTAACAACAATGACACAAAGCTGCCATGTGGGGAATCGTAGGTGGCTCGTTTCAGCTAGTTTTATCTTGTTCTTGATACCATGTCTTATTTTGACTGATGTCGTGTCTATGCTAATATGTCAAATAATCATTAGCTAGCTAACCAACAACTGTAATAATGTATTTGAGAGACAACAAATGCTCATTGTGCAAATGTATTTTTATTTTCAATAAACATTGGAGACAAAATATAGTTTACATTTGGTCAACAATGTAAGCCAACCTGTCTGTTTTGCCCCATAGCTGTGCACACATCTGTTTTGTTGCTAGACAACCAACCCGTCTATAGCACACAACTTTTAAAAGCGTAATGCATTTTTTTTCTTGATTCATTTCATTTGAGCTCTCTGGCTAGCCCAAAATGAGAATTCTGTATAACATTTTGACACCATTTTCTGCAGTAAATCAGTATTCTATGTACAGAAATATATTGGTTACAACCACACATACTACCTAATATTCCAACCCCACTTGTCAATTCGAAATGCAAAAATGAAAGGAAAGAGGAGAAAAACAAGAAATGGTTTGACCTCTCTACTTCTCCAAACCACATATTTGTCAGTCCTTCCTCATGGTGACAAAACAGAATCATTACTAAACTAAAATTGTACAACCACCAGGCACGTACAGTACCATCTGACACAGGGCTGTAAAATAAAGCATTTACCAAAACTTTTAACTACAGTAGTTTCAGTTATTAAACAAAGTCTCTGTATTATCAGAAAACATTCCAACTGGATTCAGCACATGAGGAAACAACACCAAAACTATTAACTACCATAGTTTCAGTTGAACAAAAGTCCCAGTATCATCTTAAAACTTTCAATCTGGATTCAGAAAATTATATAAGAACCCATGGCTGTATAACACTGTATGCTATCCCCCACTTTTTTTAGCGAAAATTGCTGTGTCACTCACCACCCATAATAGCCTTGACGTTGGAGTAAAGCGCTGTATCCTCATCTGTCTCTGCTGCTGGCTTACTGTTCTCTTTCTCCTCCTCCTCCATCACACCACTCCCCTCTCCTTCATCTTCTTCCCCATCTTTCTTCTTCTCTCGTTTGATTTCGGCATACTCTGACTCTGTGGTGGTGGTCTTCTTCTCTGCCTCCTCAGGAGTCTTCTTCTTCAGCAGGGAGTAGTCAATACTGGCGTAGTCCACTTCTTTGGGTTCTTCCCTTGTGGCAGATTTTCCCGTGGCTCCACTGGTCAGGGGCCCTCCATTTTCAGCTCCCTCCCTCAGCACCCCCTGCAGAGGTGTCTGTTCGCCCCCCACAGCTTGTCCTGCATCTGTCTATGGAGTATATTACAGAAAGCACTGTGTTAGAAGTATTTTGTTAGCTTGGTGGTCCCAGATCTGTTTATGCTGTCTTATCAACTCCTATTGGCATGTCAATGCTAACTGAATGTTGGTAAAGCTGAATAAAGAAAGAAACTGGTACTGCACCTGTTGGTCTTCACATGCCACCATCTCCAGGTTCATGAAAGGGCTTTTGGAGTCTGAGTCCTTTGGGATCCTCTCTTTTTGTCTAAGGAAAATATAATAAATGAAATTTCTCAATAACTGTACTTTGGAGGGGTTAGTAAGCACGTCCATTACAATATGGTATAAGGCATTGGCACTTTTGACAATATATCTGATTCTCTTGGTAGTAAATATGAATTTCTAAAGACAATCTGCAATTGATTTTAAAAACAACACTCAGTTAACACTAAATGTACTTCAGTAATACAATGCATGTACCTTTTACATTTCCCTGTCAAACACATGAAGATACAACAGATGGTGGCTGAGAGGGCTGCACCAATCACAAACGCAATAATCAGTTTTTGGTCCGACAGAATAGCTATAATACTGTCCCGTCCCTTCTCTAAAAAGACAACAACAACTCTGCATTAGAATTGGGTCACATTACTTCATATCCTCTGGAAGAAAAAATTGTAATTTTCAGACTCTAATTCTACATGTATAGAACATCTTCAATATTGCATACATTGGGTGGGATTGGGAAGCTGTGGCTCTCTAACCAAGTAACTTGATTTATATATTTACCTCTTTGATTTTCTTGGCTCTTATTTTGGGTGACCTGCAACTTCGCTCTCACTACACCCACCACATTTCCGCTGACACACTCCACAGTGGTGTTGTTGTGGTTTCTAACAGGCAGGCTGATAGTGCTGTTCACTGAGGAACCCAACACTGACATAGTGTTCTCTGTGTTGAGCACCAACAGTGGCCACTCTATGAGGGGTAAGGGAACCCCCTGACTGACACACACACAGGTCATGACCTCTGCCTGATCCACACACCCAGAGCCAGGAAGAATCACAGGATGGTCTGGAAAAAGACAGTGAAGAGAGAGGTATCAGTGATAGATTGATGTTAAAAACATGCCAGAGTAATTCCAGATCTTAAAATATAAAATTAGTTTGTATATTTCAATCAAGTTTGTACTTACACATCACAGTGACAACAGTGGAAGCTGTCATAGTCCTGTTGAGGTGTTGCGCTGTACACACATACTCCCCAGCATGTTCTCTTGTCACATTGGAGATGGTGAGAGTGGCCTTTTCAGTGTAATTCTGAAGTGGGGCACTTGTCCTGTTCTTACTCCAAGTGATGTCATATGGTGGGTAACTGTCAACACTGCAGGTCAGACCCAGGGTACCATCCTCCTTCACTGTTTTATTTCCAGTTATTTGGGGGTCTTTCACATCTTTGAGTGCATAGAGTTTCTAATTTTACACATGTATTGTTACACATACACTAAATTCAAACTATATCAGTTGAGGGACTAATTACAATGGATCATGATTAAAAAGCAAGGGAAAAGGTCAAAGCCATGACATAACTGCGTATAGCCTGAATATTGTATAATTTGCTTATTATCAAGGTTATTCCTAGGTTTAAAAGATTTTCTGGAATAAGGTGTTTAATGTAAAATGTAGGTGACATGTTACTCACATGTTACATTCAAAGTTACTGTCTCTTCAATTTGAAGTTTTTTCTGAGTTACTTGACAGGTAACCATCATGTTGTGGTGCTCAGCTGAGGGTGTAAAGGTCAAAGTTGAGAAGTGTGATGTTGTGACGCTGGTCAGGTCCTCTCTCTTCTGTATGGTGGTATTGTCTCTGAGCTCAGTGATGTTGTCTCCTGTCCCTCTACATGTCCATGTGATGTTAGGAGGAGTTCCAGAGCAGATCCCCGGGGCGGTGCAGGTCAGAGTAGCTGGTTCTCCCTCTGTCAGAGGAGGAGTCAACACTGAGGGCTTCTGGGTCAGAGCTGGAGACAGGAAATACAAACACAGAAGTGAGTTTTACATATGTGTACTAAACAGCAGTGACACATAATCAGCCTTAGGAGAGCAGCATTGATGTGCTAAGTCTGAATAGGAGTCTTCCCAGTAATGACATCTTGTCCTCTTATGAGAGGACTTTATAATAAGGGAGACTTGAGAGGGAACTTGGCAAGTGTGTACTGTATACAATGAACTACAGTAATAGTCTGTCACTGTAACTGATAATAATAGTCATGAAATACCTCTCACTGTGATTTTCACTTTCTTGGAGTATGTATATGCACTTAGCAGTCTGAACTGATACTCTCCAGCATCATTCTTTCTGATGTTGTTGATGATTACACTACAGTTCTTCTTTGTCAGATCAGTCTCCAGTAGAGACACTCTCTTTCTGTAACCCTCCTGAGCTTTAGAGGGAGTTTCAGAGTGGATAATTATGTTTTCATCCTGATCACATTTGCCATTTTCAGGGCATTTAAACCATATTGCTGCAGTAGGAATGAAGTTCTCTGCATGACTGAAGGTACATGAAATAACAGCACATAGTCCCTTCTCTGCTGTTATCTCTGCTGGACTGAAGGTGATGGTCCAGGGTGATGCTATTGGTGGTGGTGGTGGTGGCTGTTCTGATGGAGGGAAATTAATACAGTTATGAGTAATGCAGAAAGCACTTGGATACTACTTCACTTGTTCGTAACATTTTTATGATATAGTATCTATTGAGATTTTTGCCATACCACTACCACTACCACATCTACTAATGATTATTATAGTAACAATAGTAGTGATAAAAGGGACCTTACTGTTGCATGTGGTTCTCTCTGTCAGAGAGAGAAGTAGAGCTGCCCAGATGAGGACCCACATCCTGCCTCTACTGCCTCGATTAATCAACCACAGCACTAGGGTCTCTCTCCTCTTTCTCCACTTTCTGTATGGTCACTATCTCTGTCTGTGTCTACTGATCTGGAGCACAAGACAAGTGTGAAATAGAATAGGAAATGGTGTTGTGATAATAACAACATGTAGCAATACACATCTGATAATGATGCTTCATTACAACTTTATGAGTGCTACAATGTAATTCATAACAACCTTCTTAGCACTTTTATTCAAATATTTTGCTGTAATGCCTAGAGAGTATGTCAAAGAAACATTTATGGTCACATTTCATATGAATGCCTTCTTCATAATGCATTACAAGCACATGCATAACTCCTTATGAGTGACTCCTTATAATACACTATAATGCACAACATAGGCGCTAATAACTGCTCATAAATATTTTATGCCTAGGCTATATGAAGCCTTATGAAGCAATGTGTTGTAATGCCCTAAATGCATAATATAACATTACTATTACATTACATAGTCATAATCAAGTTTTAAAAGTCATTCAGTGTAACAAGACAAAAATATATAATGGTTCAATAGCTTGTCTTTCGATCCATGCAGAAAATTAGACTGAATCAGCACATTACCTCTCTCCTCCTGTTGATCAGGAGCCCTGTGTGAACTGTCACTTCATGCCCCCAGTCTCTTACTTCTCCCTCTAACTTGGTGCTGCAATCCAGGAAGTCCCTCTATACTGTATAACACCCAGCCACACTGAATATAGACCATAATCAACCAACCTATCAAACCACATTGGTTAACATTTACATTTTAGTCATTTAGCAGACGCTCTTATCCAGAGCGACTTACAATAGTGAGTCAATTCATTTTTGTACTTTTTGCTGTACTTGTCCCCCGTGGGAATCATACCCACAACCCTGGCGTTGCAAGCACCATGCTCTACCAACTGTGCCACACACTGCAATCCCAACACACACTGCAATCCCCATGCATTTTATATTTAGATGCAGTTTTATTTCACTATAAGAACGATTTCTAAAAGACAATGTGTACATATTTCAAGATTGACTGTTTGTAACATGTACATATGAATAATATGGCAAATGCCTTGCATTGGATAGAGGTAAACTGGCAATATTCTCACTGTTTTTGAAGCCCTCTGTGGTCTGATAAATGAAGTAATTTCCCTAATATGTAAGATCTGCTGCAAAAAGGGAACTGCCTGTGGGAGTTAAAAACACATTTGCTGCCATATTCTAAAGTAACTCACAAGCGTGCTGAATGCGCTTATTGTGAGCGACAGGTAGCCTACAGGTTACTGGTTTGAATACCCGAGCAGTCTATACACATCTCAACATCAACTGTTTAGAGGGGACTGTGTGAATCAGGCCTTCATGGTCGAATTGCTGCAAAGAAACCACTACTAAAGGACACCAATAAGATGAAGAGACCTGCTTGGGCCAAGAAACACGAGCAATGGACATTAGGCCGGTGGAAATTTGTCCTTTGGTCTGGAGTCCAAATTTGAGATTTTTGGTTCCAACCGACGTGTCTTTGAGACGCGGTGTGGGTGAACGGATGATCTCTGCATGTGTAGTTCCCACCGTAAAGCATGGAGGAGGAGGTGTTATGGTGTGGGGGTGCTTTACTGGCGACACTGTCAGTGATTTATTTAGAATTCAAGGCACACTAAACCAGCATGGGTACCACAGCAGTCTGCAGCAATATGCCATCCCATCTGGTTTGGGCTTAGTGGGACTATCATTTGTTTTTCAACAGGACAATGACCCAACCCACCTCCAGGCTGTGTAAAGGCTATTTGACCAAGAAGGAGAGTGATGGAGTGCTGCATCAGATGACCTGGCCTCCACAATCACCCAACCTCAACCAATTTTAGATGGTTTGGGATGAGTCGGACCACAGATTGACTTGGGACTTGCTTCCATATAGCCACAAGACCCTTAGTGAGGTCGGGCACTGATGTTGGGCGATTAGGCCTGGCTTCCAGCCGGCGTTCCAATTCATCCCAAAGGTGTTTGATGGGGATCAGGTCAGGGCTCTGTGCAGGCCAGTCAAGTTCTTCCACACCGATCTCGACAAACCATTTCTGTACGGACCTCGCTTTGTGCACGGGGGCATTGTCATGCTGAAACAGGAGAGGGTCTTCCCCAAACTGTTGCCACAAAGTTAGAAGCACAGAATCGTCTAGAATGTAATTGTATGCTGTAGCATTAAGATCTCCCGTCAATGGAACTATTGGGCCTAGCCCGAACCATGAAAATAGCCCCAGACCATTATTCCTCCTCCACCAAACTTTACAGTTGGCACTATGCATTGGGGCAGGTAGCGTTCTCCTGGCACCTGCCAAACCCAGATTTTTACGTCGGACTGCCAGATGGTGAAGCGTGATTCATCACTCCAAAGAACGTGTTTCCACTGCTCCAGAGTCCAATGGCGGCGAGCTTTACACCATTCCAGCCAACATTCTGCTGCCAATGTTTGTCTATGGAGATTGCATGGTTGTGTGCTCAATTCTATACACCTGCCAGCAACAGGTGTGGCTAAAATAGCTGAAACCACTAGTTTGAAAGGGTTTCCACATCCTTTTGAATCAATAGTGCACTTTGTGATGATTTGATAACTTATTCAAAATCAGCAACAATTAGATTTTTTTTCTTCCACAATCATTCACTTACAGTGCATTCGGAAAGTATTCAGACCACTTGACTTTTTCCACATTTTTTTTACGTTACAGCCTTATTCTACAATTGATCAAATAGTTTTTTCCCCTCATCAATCTACACACAATACCCCATAATGACAAAGCAAAAACAGGTTTTTAGAAATGTTTGCAAATGTATTACAAATAAAAAACTGAAATATTACATTTGCATAAGTATTCAGACCCTATAAACAGTACTTTGTTTAAGAACCTTTGGCAGCGATTACAGCCTCAAGTCTTCTTCGGTATGACGCTACAAACTTGACACAACTGTATTTGGGGAGTTTCTCAAATTCTTCTCTGCAGATCCTCTCTAGCTCTGTCAGGTTGGATGGGGAGCATCGCTGCACAGCTATTTTCAGGTTTCTCCAGAGATGTTCGATCGGGTTCAAGTCCGGGCTCTGGATTGCCCCTCAAGGACATTCAGAGACTTGTCCCGAAGCCACTCCTGCATTGTCTTGGCTGTGTACTTAGGGTCGTTGTCCTGTTGGAAGATGAACCTTTACCCCAGTCTGAGGTCCTGAGCACGCTGGAGCAGGTTTTCATCAAGGATCTCTCTGTACTTTGCTCCGTTCATCTTTCCCTTGATCCTGACTAGTCTCCCAGTCCCTGCCGCTGAAAAACATCCCCACAGCATGATGCTGCCACCACCATGTTTCACCAAAGGCATGGTGCCAGGTTTCCTCTAGACGTGACGCTTGGCATTCAGGCCAAAGACTTCAATCTTGGTTTCATCAGACCAGAGAATCTTGTTTCTCATGGTCTGAGAGTCTTTAGGTGTCTTTTGGCAAACTCCAAGCAGGCTGTCATGTGCCTTTTACTGAGGAGTGGCTTCCGTCTGGCCACTCTACCATGAAGGCCTGATTGGTGGAGTGCTGCAGCGGGAATGATCGATGCTTGACTGCCTGTTATGACGAGTTTCTCTGGTATCGAGTACTTCAGGATGTAAGAGAATATGGAACACTTAGATGGAGAGTTGATTCATTGTTATTTAATGGTTACAGTACTGGATTCAATGACAAGCGGTACAGGCGTAGCCCCCTTGTCATTCGAATGACTTCCATAGAAAATCTCTCAGTTTATATAATGCTCTCCGAGCTACTTCTATCCCACAGTTGCCAACCATTATTGAGTGTCACTCATCTACTACAATAGGATCCCCATACATGGTATCGTGTGGCACCCTAGCCAGGCCATTCCATCACGTACCCCTCCTAGATTAGCACCAGTGGCCGCAACCTATCTTGGCACACCGACCCTCTGTCACTCACCCGTGACATCAATAACACATTTACATTTACATTTAAGTCATTTAGCAGACGCTCTTATCAAGAGCGACGTGCATTCAACTTAGGATAGCCAGTGGGACAATAACCCTTTTCCCCCCTATTTTTTTCTAATGGGGGGGGGGGGGGGGGAGATTAGAATGATTACTGTTATACTATTCCAGGTATTCCTTAAAGAGGTAGGGTTTCAAGTGTCTCCGGAAGGTGGTCAATGACTCCGCTGTCCTGGCATCGTGGGGGAGCTTGTTCCACCATTGGGGTGCCAGAGCAGCAAATAGCTTTGACTGGGCTGAGCGGGAACTGTGCTTCAGTAGAGGTAGGGGGGCTAGCAGGCCAGAGGTGGATGAATGTAGTGCCCTTGTTTGGGTGTAGGGTCTGATCAGAGCCTGAAGGTAAGGACATGGCGTGTCATTGTCCTCTGTTACTCACATACAGTGAGGGAAAAAAGTATTTGATCCCCTGATGCTTTTGTACGTTTGCCCACTGACAAAGACATGATCAGTCTATACTTTTAATGGTAGGTTTATTTGAACAGTGAGAGACAGAATAACAACAAACAAAACCAGAAAAATGTTTATAAATTGATTTGCATTTTAATGAGAGAAACAAGTATTTGACCCCTCTGCAAAACATGAATTAGTACTTGGTGCCAATACCCTTGTTGGCAATCACAGAGGTCAGACGTTTCTGGTAGTTGGCCACCAGGTTTGCACTCTCAGGAGGGATTTTGTCCCACTCCTCTTTGCAGATCTTCTCCAAGTCATTAACGTTTCGAGGCTGATGTTTGGCAACTCGAACCTTCAGCTCCCTCCACAGATTTTCTATGGGATTAAGATCTGGAGACTGGCTAGGCCACTCCAGGACCTTAATGTGCTTCTTCTTGAGCCACTCCTTTGTTGCCTTGACCATGTGTTTTGGGTCATTGTCATGCTGTAATACCCATCCACGACCCATTTTCAATGCACTGGCTGAGGGAAGGAGGTTCTCACCCAAGATTTGACGGT